ACTGTGTTCAACCACACTGTTTAATTCTCTCCCTAAAAGTATTACAGAACTGGAGCAGCATCTGAACAAGATGCAGGAGAGAGATGCAAGCTCCACATGCACAGATGAGTGGGTGGGCCCTCATCAGATGACAGGGAGACCTGGCTCCCTCTCCCTTTAATTTACTACAGTTGCTTACACGTCAAAATCACTTTGCCAAAACACAGAAGTAAACCTGTGTTTCAGCAACCTACACTTAAGAGTGCTCCGAGGGAATGAAGAACACTATTACATTATGGGTTAGAACTGCAAATGAAACTAAATGAAATTAGGATTTGACACAAATCAGAATCTTAAGGCTCTTTTTGGTAATCTCCTTAATTTCAAGGCTCAGAAGACTTAATACCTTTGATTCCAGTCTTCTGCATGGTGGCCTGAATCATAAGGTTGGCTACCAGCAGGGTGCATGCTATCTCCTGTAGTGTAGCTGTTAATTTGGGAAGGATATGCTTACTGTAACAAACAGGGGAAAAAATCAGTTTCCATAAGAATCATTTCTCTAGAGAAAATTTTTTGGCTAATCTGGACACACTGTGGGCCTGCAGATTTTACTTAGACAGTCATTTTTTACTTTTTATACTCTTAGGAACCAAAAGACAGGGGAACATGTTATTCACTAATTCAACCATTGTCCTGATTCTGATCCTAGCAAGTGAGTTTTTTCTTTTTCCTCTTCCCTTCCCTGAGATCATCAAAACCACACTACTTAGTTATGAAAAGCCTGAACATCTTCTGCTTTCACCCTTCTCTACAACAGAGCATACTGTTTTGGCTCAATAGAATGCAAGGTCTTATTTGTCGTCACTCGGTAGGAGGAAGTAAGCTCTCTAATTTGATTAGCTCTGGTGAAGTAAAGACACAAGAGATTTCAAAGTGTTTCCATAAAATCCATAGGTGTGGAGAAAGGACTGCAAGGTTCACCTCAAAATATACACTCTGGAACCAATCCCAGCATTCACCTATCCAAATGTCACACCTCTGTTTGTCCTTTGGCATAAGAATAAAGACTGACTGATGCTGGTGCTCACTCTTAGGATGGTCAACCTTGGAGGAAGTCAGGTGATCCCGCAGGAACCACTCATGCTCTGAAACTTGTGGGTTTTACTTTAGCTTCTACTATAGAAAACACCAGAGCCACTCAAGGCCACCTTGTCCTCTACCACCAGGACTTGCTGCTGGTCACTCCCAAGCCATCTCACACCATTTGGAATTGATTGTGCTGTTTCTCTATCTTTGTAAAAATAAGTTTCACTTATTTTGTGTTGAGAATTACAAGTGGGAGAGAGGCATCCTGTCTTCCACCAGCACAGTGTCTATCCCAAACTGGTCAGTGCACTGCTTCACAGTGGCCAGGACACTCAGGAGCCGCTGGTCCACTGCATCCAGGTGAGGATCAGAGAGCACAGGGGAGATGGGGTCATGGGCCATGGCAGATTTTAAGGCAGACTTTAGCACTCCATTCTTTAAGGAGTTCAGTCTGTTCCAGGTAGAAACCCGAATGCTGGAAGAGAAAGTTTAAAGACAAGTTACATAAAACTTCTCACTATCAAATAGAATTTAAAACCGATTTGTAGTTTAAAAAAAAAGTAAAATATTTTAACAAAAAAAATAATTTTTGTTTCAGAATTACTCTGCATTATGAACAAGACACACACCAGGTTCTGTTATTTTTTTCTGGGTCATTAATCAGAGATATACACAAAGATTTACTTATGTTCTCTACAGTACTATTTGTAACAGGAAAAATGTGAACCAATCTGAATGTTCAACAACTGGGAAATAATTAAACAAATATGATTCATCCATTCAAGGAAATACCATGTAGCCATTCAAAATAGTTTTGAAAATTAATGCATGGAAAATGCCCATGATATAATGTTGGCACAAGGGGAAGTTAGAGGAGAAACCTTTGCTCTGAATCTGTGGGAAACTGTGTGTGTGCTTAGAGTGAGCAGACAGCAGATGAGAAGGTAGTACTTTGCAGTGGTGACAGGAGTCATCCTCACACACGAATGGGGACTTCTAATTTCCTTCTTCGTGTTTCTAAATTTTAAAAAATTCTATTATTAATAGGAAAGAATTCATGTATTTTTATTTTTTGGTGGTTCTGGGGTTTGAACCCAGGGGTCTGGCACTTGTTAGGGAGGTGCTCTACCACTTTAGCCACACCCCAAGCCCTTTTTTGCTTTAGTTACTTTTTAGATAGAGTCTCATGGTTTTTGCCCATGCCCAACCTCAGAATGCAATCCTATCTACCCCTTCAATGTAGCTTGACAGCTGTGACAACAGGTGCTTGCCACCACGCCCAGATTATTTGTTGAGATGGAGTCTCATTACCTTTTTGCCTGCACTGGCCTCAAACTGAAATTCTCCTGATCTCTGCCTCCTGAGTAGCTGGGATTAAGGTGTGAACCACCAGGCTCAGCCAATAACACGCTGTATTCTAACCCTGCAGTCTACTCACTCTAAGCACATACACTTGTTTACCACAGATTGGAATAAAATTTATTTTAAGGATACCTATTTTCCTTATTTCACCAAGTGCTTGCTATGGTTTCATACAAAACTCATGCTAAGCTTAATTTCCACTGTAACAGAATTAAGAAAAGAGATGTTTAAGAGGTGATCAGGCCATGAGGACAGAGCTGTCATAAAAGGGTGGCTCCTCTTGCCCTCTCTGCCTTTCCACCCTCAGTAACGTGACAATAGTAAGAAGGCCTCCCCAGATGCTGGTGTCTTGATACTGGATTTCTCAGCTTCCAGATCTGTGAGCCAGTAACTTTCTACTCATGATAAACTTCCCAGTCTGTGGTATTCTGTTAAAGCAGCACCAACTGAAGAAATCTTTTATTTCAGAAGAAAAGTTCTAGCCTCTCTACAGGCAAAGTGGAGATGATGAGGTAGGCAGAAATGTCTGGCTCTGCAAACAGGACCCTGTTCTACAACTACTTAGGAAGTAATGGAGACTGGTCTTTTCATAAAGCACAGAGGGACAGACAAGCACAGGTGCTGGTCTGTTTTCTTATTCTACATCATACTACGAATGCCCAGAGTCTCCCCCGAGTGACTACGTTGTCACTTCACTGTCTCTGAGCTCCACATTTATCCCTCCATATATCCTTTTTCCAAAACGGACAGAATTCTTTTAAGCATCCTTCCTCTTAAGCTTTCTCAGTAGGGGGACACTGCAGGAGGAAAGGGCTCTTTTGGTCAGTGGTGTGGGAAGGAGGTCACCCAAGGGAGCTCTGTCCCAGCCACAGTCCCTGGTGTGAGCCCTTGGTGACCTTGAAGCCTCAGTTAGGACTGGCTGTAACTTTCCTGGGAACCTCCAGACACAGAAACCAAGGCTCTGAAGGCCCTTGCCATCCTGACTTACTCTGAAGGCTCATAAATGTGCTTTACCGGTAGCCCAGAGGATTCCTAGTGGGCCATCCCTTCCTCTGCAGGCCATGACTCCAGTTACTGATTGCCTGTACCCCCAGCTCCTGAAAACCAGCAAACTTCACTGCTATTCAGTGAGGTGAATCATACCTTCTCCACTGAGACTCTCAGGGATCCTTTTCTAAGTCTGTCCTTCCTTGAGTATTCTCCCTCATCCCCAGTTTTCTTTTATACTGTTGTATTAAAATTTAATAATTTCTTATAGTCAATACCCCTGTTTAGCACAGTGCCTTTTCTGTCTCCTGGTTGGATCAGATTCATAATAGTATCAAAACAAAAACACTGTTCTTCAATATTTGATTATATGTATTGCTATCTTCCAGATCATTAAAGGATGTCTTCATAAATGTTATTTTCTGCACAGTTTTGTTGCTATTAAAAAACTGAGAGAGGGCTGGGGTATACAGTGGCAAAGCACTTGCTTTGCCTTGCCTGTGTGAGGCCCTGAGTTTGATCATTAGCACCGTAAAGATAACGAAAAGAAAATACAGACCAGTTGCTAAGAGGGCAGTCTTCCGTGTCAGGGGAGTTTCTGGGAGTTGACTACTGTTAAGTGGTGCTCCTAGATCTGCTTTTCTATGCAGTCATGCAAGGTGAATCCCAGCAGATTCGTGATGTACATATGTTAAAACAAGACCAGGATCAATGACCTGAAACAAGAGCTCCTTAGAGCCCAGTCTCTCTCTCTCTCTCTTTTTTTTTTTTGGCAGTGTTGGGGTTTGAATTCAGGGCTTCGCACTTGCTAGGCAGACTCTACTACTTGAACCACATCCCACAGCCCTTTTTGCTTTTAGTTCTTTTTCAAATAGGATCTTGTGTTTATCCCCGGGCCTGCCTATTTATGCTTCCTGCATAACCAGGAATGACAGGCGCAAGGACACCACCACGCCCAGCTTTTTTTGGTTAAGAGTGCGGGGGGGGGGGGGGTCTCACTAACTTTTTGTTCAAGAGGGCCTTGAACCAAGATCATCCTGGATAGCTGGGATTACAAATGTGAGCTACAGTGCCCAGCACAGTCCCAGGCTTTAATCTCATTTTTCTCAATTTCTTTGTTCTCTGATGTAGATTAAAAGTAATTATTAGGTTCTTATGGAAAGTTACTTTTGGTTTAGAAAATTTCAAACTGAGATATGCAAACCCCAGATGGTATGTAATGGGTAAAAAGACTTGAAAACACAGCTAAACTAAATGTAGTAACTAAGAATACAGGTTTTACTAGAAGATTTTTTTGGCGAGGGTTGGGGGTAAGGGGACTGATTATATTCTGATATTAAACCACATATATATTACTAAATACACTATGAACTTCTATTCATTCAAAATGAATTCTGAGCTTTGGATTACCTGCCTCTACCTTTCCCTGATTCCCATCTCAGGATCTCCAAGGATTCTGGACTGGAAAGTATGAAAAGCACTGCTCAGGAATCAGGAAGTTTTAAGGCCAAGAAAATTAATGCACGGTTACCTGAGCCTGGAAAGGAAGGCAATGCAGGCACATGTATTTGCTGTGCATAACTTACATGCAACACTGATAGAGAGGGGCAAGAATGCTTCTCTCATCCAGCGAAGGGTTCCCAAAGCTGAAAATGAATTAGGTGTATTAGTTTCCATCTCAGTATCAAAGCAAAAGCAAAATCTGAAAGAAACTCAACTGTGATCCTAGATAATTTCATGCTCCATCAACTGCACAGATCATTTAAATTAAAAATAAGCAGGGCATGACCAATTAGGCACAGAATTACTTCAGCCTGTGCTGAAGTATCAAACAACAAATAAACTATCTACAAGGACCCTATTTCTTGCCAAGATAGTGCAACATGCTGGACCATAATTATGGCAACATAGCATAGACGTTGCAGACCAAAGGGAGACCATGAAAACCCCCAAACTTGAGAAGCTTTTAAGGGTGGAGAAAGAAATAAAGGCTACTCATATTAGGTTTCCCCAAACAAGCAGATGGCCCTTACTTGTAAAAAGGAGTTACACTTGTTCTACTCCAAAATTACCAGTATCTATTCCACATGTGTACATAAGAACAGTTTCAAACTGGACAAACTGCTGATGGAATTTTAACAGAGGCTGTGGAACACTGATTCAAAGCAGACATAAAAACGGTATTAGTAGTATTTCAAAGTTAGGAAAGAGAGGTGATTCTGGAAAAATCATCAATCTTTCTTTCCTTCTGGAGCTTGCCTTAACGCCTGCAGAGTCTGCTAGCCCTCTAGTAATAAAAGACAAAGCAGCTGTTATAGTATGAATGTTTGCATCCCTCAAATTCATGTTGATACCTAATCTCCAATGCAGTATTATTAAGAGGTGGGGCCTTTGGGAGATGATTAAGTCACAAGGACAGAACCCGCAGGAATGGGATTTGTGTCATTATGTGAGACCAAGGGAGCTTGTTCACCTCTTCCACATGTGAAGATACATAGAAGGTACCGCCTGTGACAATGGGCCCTCACTAGACAGTCAATCTGCCCATGCCTTGTTCTTAGACTTCCCAGCTTCCAGAACTGTGAGCAGTAAAAACCTGCTGTTTGTGATTATCCAGTATAAGCTATTTTGTTACAATAGCTCGAATGGATTAATATAAGAACTATTTTGATATATATAAAATCTCATGTGTGTCATAGTACATACAATCTTTTTAACAAAATGATCATGTTTACAAGCAAGGATAAAAATTTTCAGGAATACATACAGCTGTGATGGGCTGAAGGGAAAGGCAGTGTCTGCCAGCCCTTTACTTTCTGTACTCTCATGAAACAGGTAATGGTAGGATCATTTACAAATGCTGCCCAAGAAGTCTTTGCTGAGGAGCCACAAGTGTCTCAGCATACTCCCAGTATCCAAAGTTAACCTGGGGTCTGGAAAATTCTGGGCTCTAAGGAAGCATTCTACTTAGCAAATTGTAATATTAAGTGTAACTAAAAGCATGACACTAAACTGGCTACTATAAACAATGCAGAGTGCAAAATGGAAACACAAAGTGCTCTCTAAATAACTCAGACCAAAAAAATAAGGATACTCTATTTATTCAAAGTGAGGAACTTGTCTTATTCAAGACAAAAGTAATTTGTCTTTATATATAATCACTATGCAACTGCTCTTGTCATGAAAGCAAGTCTGAGCCTAAATTGCCATAAAAATAGCAAAACGTACTATCAAATCAAATGTTTAAACTGCACAAACCTTTACAAGGAATATATTTAGTAGTAAGTAAATTCCATTTTCTGTTAAATCTACATTTCTCAGATTTGAGGTTCTGAAAACATCATAATCAAGAAAGAATCTGATGTAGGTGATGACAAATTAAGGACTCTGGCTTCCAGTTGGCTGTGAGGATGACCACTTTTTCTTTTTTTTTGGCAGTATTGAGGGGGTCAAACTCAGGGCCTCACACTTGCTAAGCATGCACTCTATCACCTGAGCCATGCCTCCAGCCCAGCTTTTCATTTTTTCAAAAGTCCTGAAATCCCTGACCATGCAGAAAAGAATGTCAACAGAAAAGGCCAAAAAAGGGACATCTTCTAACAACTGTGTTCTGGATGGTTTCCAGGATATCTGCTATAGTTTGGATCTGAAGTGTCCCCCAAGGGCTCATAGGCTAAAGGACTGGTCACCAAGCTGTGATATTATTTGGAGGTAGTGGAACCTTTAGGAGGTAAGCCCAGTGGAAGGAAGTTAGGCCATTGGGAGTGTGCCCTTGAAGTATAGGAACCCTGGCTCCTTTTCCTCTTTGCTTCCCAGATGCCATGAAGGGAGTACCTTTGCTTCACTACACACTCCCCACCACAATGCTTCTGCCTCACCACAGGCCCAAAAGCAATAGATCCAACCAACCATGGACCAAAACCTCTGAAACTGTGAGCCAAAATAAGCATTTCATTCTGAAGTTTATTTATCTCAGGTATTTGTCACAGTGATTGAAAGCTGACTAATAACACCCTAGAAAATATACTTTTCTATACAGAAACTGACAAAAGATAGGCCTGCTGGTCTTACCTTTTGGCATTATCAAGAAGGATGAGCATACTAGCGCCTTCATCATCTTGAAAGCTCTCATAGTGATGACGGTCAGCATTGCCAATCAGGTAATCAAAGACTGCAGTGTCAATGATGTCCAAGAGGCGTGGGCCTGAGTCATATGGGGATGTTTTCTTCACAGCATCACAGTAGCTCTCATCATACTCCCACCTGGAGGTAAGGATTACTAAGCACCAACACTGCACCTGGCTATTATAGTTATGACCATAAAAACTCCCTGAAGACCATGTGCTAAAGTTTGGTTGCCAGTCTGTGATACTACTGGAAATAGGGCCTCGTGGAAGGAAATCAGATCATTAGACATGCCCAGAAAAGGGATACTGGGATTCCAGCCCTCCCCTCATCTCTTCCTGGCAACCATGAGCTTTATTCACAATATACTCCCAACCATGATGTTCTGCCTTATCACAGGCCCCAAAACAATGGCGCTAACCAAACTTGGGCTGAAACCGTAAGACAAAAGAAATTTCTCCTCCATTTATCTTAGGTATTTTGTCATAGCGACAGAAAGCTAACACTGAAAAAGCTAACACTGAAAATTCTTTAGAGAAGCAGGCTAAAGAAAGCTTAGAATGCTGGAAGCAGAGACTAATGGATGATCCCGATGGGGGCTGATAGGAATGAGGATGGTAAAACCTGTGCTGATTGAGGTTTCAGATGTAAAGAGGGCTCTCCAGGGAAGTGGATTAGAGGCCACTCAGCTTACATTCTGGCAAAGAACTCGTCTACATTTTGTCTATGCCCTGAGACTTCACGAGAGAGCTGAGTTCAAAGGTGACACAATGGTTTAGATAGTGGAGAATGTTTCAAGGCAGTGGCATGGCAATTACTGGATGTTCCTGGCCAAATTTACTGTGAGAATCTTGAAAAACAAAGAAGTGTATATTAAGTTCAAGTCAAGGAGGGTGTGAGGAGATCAACAGCATCAACAAGAAGCAAAGTACTTTGGCAGTGGGATAGAACGATGCCTTAAGGGCATCTCAGGAATCAGCAAGATCCCACCCATCCAAGGCTCAACACAGGGCCCAGAGAATTGTTTCCCTGTGTTCAGCCATGAAGACGCTCGGAAGCTGCTGTGGTCTAAGTGGGCCTGGCTAAGAACTGGTCATTGTACATGTGATGCTGGCTTTTAAGCTATATGGAATATAAGAATTATGGGGTCGTCTTGGAAGCTTCCACTGAGATTTCAAAGGAAGGCCTGGGAGATCCCATGTGGGAGGATCAGTTTCTGTAAGCAGCCACCAAAAGGGCAATACGGAAAGCTGTACAAGTGCAGCTAAAGTTGCAACAGAGACTCCAAGAAGTCAGAGGTGTGAGAAACGTGGAACACCTGCCACCTAGGGAAGCTGCAAGCAATGAGCAGAGCCAGCCCAAGAGAGTGGTCATGTGGACTGTAGCCAACATGGCCTTAAGGGCAGGGATGGCCAACCTCTTTGGAGTTCACAGTGTACTACCATGTACCCTGGATTCTGGATATGGAGCTAGAGGATTTAATGTTGGCCTCACTGGGGTTCAATGCTTGGTCCAATCCTTGCTATTTACCCTGTACCATTGTATCTTATACGTATGTAACTTAAAAACAAACAAACCAGGGCTTACAGCTAAGAGTTTGCCTTGAGCCTTAGAGGAGACTTTGGATTTTCACTTTTTAGCAATACTGGAACAGTTAAGACTCTCAGGACTCTTGGAGATAGAATGAATGCATTTTGCATTGTGAAATGTGCATAAGTCTTTGGGGAAAACAGGCAGAATTCTATGGTTTGAATTTTAAATGTTTTCCCAAAGAACATGTGCTAAAGGCTTGGTTCCCAAGGTGTGACACTGTTGGGAGGCAGTATCTTATGGAAGGAAGTTCAGTCACTGGGAGCATGCCTTTGAAGGGTGCCACCATGAGGTAAGTAGCCTCCTCTACCACATACTTCTGCTATGATATACTATGCCACCATAGGTCCAAAGTAACGTAGCCAAGTGATCATGGACTGAAACCTCTGAAATTGTGAGTCAAATAAATCTTCCTTTAAAGTTGATTTGCCTGAGGTTATTTGTCATAGTGACTAAAAGCTGACTTAATACATTGGCACTGCTAAAAAAAGAAAAGAGTTCCTGCCTAAAGATTTGCCCCTGACTCCACAACTCTTTTTTACCCTTGGACAAAACAGTTGATTCCTATTCAGGATTGGCACCTGGTCTGGCTCACAGGAGCATTTACCTGGCCAGTTTGCCTTCTCGGTATGTCCTCCCCCAGGGGTGTCGATGTTTCTGCAGAGGCCACACATCTGGAAGCCAAAGTGTGACAGACCCCTCCATTGTGTCTCCATCAGCACAAGCTGGCTCTGTTTCCCGGCAGTAATAGCACTTTCCATAGAAACAAGTATTGTTACCTAAAAGACAGAGAGAAGCCAAATACATGTAAGGAAAAAAATGAAGACTCCAATTTCTCCCCCAAACAAAAAAGGCACTGAGAAAATGAAAAATGTGAATTTATTATATTCCACACATTTTCCTATATAGATACTAGAAGCAGATGGTGTTTTAAAAATCAAAAAAGGTACAAAGGATATAGACTAGAAAGTAAATCTTCCTTTCTCTGTGTCTCCCTTCTATCCAGTCTCTCGCCTAGAAATCAACTACCATCATAGGGTCTTTCTAAACTCACTTTGCTTAAAGAATAGCAGTATCTTGTTCTTCAGCAGGGCTGAGGGTTTGGTCAAAATGCCCAGGAGAGGGAGGGAGAGGGGCATGTGCTCAGTTTGGTTATATAAGATAGGTAGGGGGGAGTGAGCAAACAAATTAAATAGAAAATGAGACAAGAATCAGCTTTCTCACAGATGGAAAAGGAAGTTTAACATATATAAAAGGATAATGACCAGTATAACACCTATCATGACTCAGAACTGGAGATACTTGTTTCAGTTGATGATTTTAATACATATCCAGAGATACAGAAAAAGATACAGATGTGTGCATGTATCTTTGTATATACAAACATACAGACATACATTCCTACTGTGTCCTTCAATGAAACTTGGAAACAATAACATTCAGGTAGTAATAGGCACACTCACATCACTCACATAACAGCTTCCAAAGACCATTTTAATCCTTGAAGAAACAGCTGACTCCAGGGCTAAGGAAAGGAAGGCACAAGAAAAGCCTGGACCACAATGACATGCCAGTTGTAAGGAAGTGTACTGGCATAACATAACGTAACATAACATTATGTAAGTCCAATAAGGAACTAGTGAAATGAATTATGGTAGTTCCATAAAATGGAACATTTTTGAGGCTGGTAAAACAAAAGAATGAAGAAGCACTTATATGAAACATGGAAAGATTTCTAAGATATATTACATAAAACGAATAAGATGCAGAAGCATGTATAGTGTGCCATATGTTGTACAGAATCCTACAGTTACATAAAAATATGCATTCATATTTCATACAAAAAGACATAAAAATTTGCTAGTAGAATCTACTACTGGGAGAAGGGGAAGGAACTGGATGGATGCAAGAAAAACTTGTCATTGTAGCCCTTTTTCTAATTAATCAATCAATCAATTAATTACTTTTTATGGTACTGGGATCTGAACTCTGGGCCTACACCTTGAGCCACTCACCAGCCCTTTTTTTTTTGTGATGAGTTTTTGCAAGATAGGGTCTTGTGAACTATTTGTCTGGGCTGGCTTCTAACATGATCCTCCTGATCTCTGCCTCCTGAGTAGCTAGGATTACAGGTGTGAGCCACTGGCACCTGGCTTTGTAGTACTTTTAATACTTAAAAAAATTTTTTTGAATTGTTTAAATGTGTTACTGATTCAAGAAATTAAAAAACAAAACAAGGCAAACAAAACACTGCTTAGTGGGTGTAACCTGTTACCTACAGAATAAAATTCAAACTCCTGAGTTTGGTAAATAAGAATAATCTCCATAACTGAAAGGGTGGGAGTACAGAATATTGGTTAAGAGTTTGGGGTCTGGGGCAGATTTCTAGAGTAAAAATGTAAACTTTCTTTTCTTTTTTTTTTTTTTTTTGGCAATGCTAGGGATCTATACTCTACTATTGAGCCACACCTCAGCCCTTAACATATAAGCTATTTTAGTCAGGTGACTGCAAGACTCTGGGCATGTAATTCCACCTCTCTAAGAATCCTCTCCAGAAAATGGAGCTAGTAACAGTTGCTCCACTGTTGGGTTGTGAACAGTGAATCAGACAACCCATTGCAGTGAGGCTGTCAGAGACCTATCCATGCAGGCTAGTTATTATTAACAATATGGCCCCATCTCTTTCCAGACTTCAATATTTCCATTTCAGTGTCATAAGCGTGAGGCTCTGAGTCTCTGACTGTTTCCTGGACATATTAAGCTTTTGGAACAAGTTTTCTGATCACCTTAGCAGTCTCCGTGCTCTTCTTGAGTGAACTACCAACTGTGATAATAAAATCTAAGTCTTTTGTTCAGACTGCTCTTCTTTAGCTTGTAAATGACTAGTCCACATACACTCCCAGTTTCCCTGTCAAGGAAACAAAATATCCAAAATTAAATGTATTATTTTCCTCTGCTCCAGCTCCTTGGATCTGTTCCTTTCTGAATATTTCTCAGAGAGTTAACAGGGTCATTATTCACTTAGTCACCCAGTACAGAAACTTGGGAGTCGTTAAGTTTTTATTTTTCTTCTTACTCAATTGTTCCTCCTGGTCGAAAATGTTTCCCAAATTTTTCATGTTCCAATTCTTGAATATTTCTTTATCTTTCTATCCTGCCATTGCTTCAGTACTGACTGTATTGCATATGAAATTACTAAAACAGTCCCAAGTAATCTCAGCTCTCAACTTTCCCCTCTCCAACCCATCCTTGGTAATGCAGCACACTCAGTTTTGTAAGTCAAATCTCATTCTGCCATGTTCAATCCCTTTTACTGGCCTCCCAGCACCTAAGAAGTATCTCATCTCCTAAGCATGGCATATTGGCTCTGCGGTGACATGGTCCAGCCCCACATTTAGCACTTCAGCTCATACTCTTCCTTTACTTCTAGTCACCCTTGTTGATGCTCAGTTGTCCACCTGGAACAAGGTGAACTCAGCATGGGAACAAAATTACTTCTTCATTTTCACTAACCTCTTTCTGAAATTTACCATTTCTATGAACTATGATGGTAGGAGCCACAATATTTGTTACCTGTGACTTTGTTAGTAAAAGAAATGATAATTTTTCATATTGCAATAGCACTGTTGCAGATATATCAAAGTATCATTTATATTCATAATCTAAATTATGGTAGCTACTGGATCTCTGCTAGATCTTGTTATTTAATGTTTTAAATAACAAAGCACATGTTACTGTGCTATTATTAATAATTTTTTTAGTGGTATTGGGGTTGAACTCAGGACCTTGTGCTTGCTAGGCAGGTGCTCTAACACTTGAGCCATAGCTCCAGGCCCTTTTTGCTCGCATTTTTGTCCTGGTTGACCTGGACTGGACTGCAATCCTATTTATGCTTTCCACGTAACTGGGGTGACAGGTGTACAACACCTCAATCAGCTATTGATTTAGATGGAGTCTCTCTAACTCTCTCTCTCTCTCTCTCTCCTCTTCTCTCTCTCTCTCTCTCTCTCTTTCTTTCTTGGTTTTGTTGTGGAGCCCAGGCTGGCCTTGAACTCACAATCCTCCTGCCACCATCTCCCGCTGCTTTCCAAGTGCTGGGATCACGGGTGTGTGCCACTATGCCCTACTGTACTCTCTGAAAAGAGGATCTAATAAGGTAGGAGTATGGAAGTGCTCTCTCAAGTTGCAAGGACTATACAGAATTTAGTCATTATAATATACCAACTTACTAGTCATACATAATTTTATCAACAGAATGAGAAGACAAACCATAGGCTGCGAGAAAATTTCTGCAAAAGATACAACCAATAAAGGGCTATTATCCAAAATACAGAAAGCTTTTTTTTTTTTTTTTGTAGTGTTGGGGATGGAACCCAGGCTTGAGCATACTAGGCAAACACTGTACTACTAAGTCACACCCCCTACCCTAGAAACAATTCTTAAAACTCAAGTATATGAAAACCAAACAACTTGATTTAAAAATAGTTCAAATAGGCATAAGCCTCTAATCCAAGCACTTGGGAAGCCAAAGCAGAAGATCAAGGCTAGCTAGCCTGGCTATATGGCAAGACTCTGTCTCAAAAACACCAAAACCAAAATGAAACATACATACACATGACAAACAATAAGTAAATATGTTAAAAAATGCTCAATATCACTAATCATCAGGGAATGAAAATCAAAACCACAATGAGATATCATCTTAGCCCAGTTAGAATGGTTTATCATTAAAAAGACAAAGCAAAAACAAAGATGCAGAGAAAGGGGAAGTTTATACACAGTTGATGAGAAAGTAAATGAGTACAACCACTATGGGAAACAGGACAGAGGTTCCTCAAAAAATTTTAAGTAGAACTATCATATGATCCAGCAATCTCACTACTATAGGAAAGGAAGTCAGTATGTTGAAGAGATTTCCATACTCTCATGTGTATCACAGTACTAATCACAATAGCTATGATATGGAATCAACCCAAGTGTCAACGAACCGATGAATGAATAAAGAAATACAGCATATGTGCACAATGAAATCCAATTTGGCCACTAAAAAAGAGTGAAATTTTGTCATTTGTGGCAGCATGGATGGACCTGAAGAACATTTAGGGAAAGGTGAACTAGGGAGACAATAAAAAGACCAGTGGTTACTAGGCAATAGGTGGGAGTGGAGCGATGAATAGATGGAACATAGCTGATTTTAAGACAATGAAAATACTATGTGATGATGTTATAATGATATACATGTAACTGTGTATTTGTCCAAACCAACAGGATGTATGACACCAAGACTGACTCTCAACATAAACTATGGACTTTGGGTAATTATGATGTGTCAATGTATGTTCATCAATTGTAACAATTTTACTATTCTGATGTGGCATTTTGATAATGAGGGAGGCTAAGTATATGGGGGCACAAAGTGTTTAACAAACCTCTGTACTTTCCTCTGAACCTAAAACTACTCTAAAAAAATAAAGTCTTAAAAACACAACAGCCAGGCACCTGCAATCCTGCCTACTTGGGACGCTGAGATCAGAAGGATTGTGGTTCAAGGCCAGTCTAGACAAATAGTTCCCAAGACTTCATCTCCAAAGTAACCAGAGCAAAATGGGCTAGAGGTATGCTTCAAGCAGTAGAGCACCTGCTTAGCAGATACAAAGACCTGAGTTCAAAACACAGTCCTACCAAAAAACCCACAACCAACCAACCAAACAAAAACCCACAACAGCAGCTAGTTGTGGTAGAGCATATCTGTAATTTCAGCACTTGGGAGATGGAGGCA